AGTGATGTTAGTCTATGTACTGAAAGTATAAAATGAAATGTATAGACAACAAAACTGGAAAAATATTTATTTATTTCTTAACTTAGAGTCTCTGTTGATTAAAGAGGTTTGTTTTTTATTTAAAATGTTGGTGATATAACAGAAAATAGCTTAATTCAGAAATTATTTAAGTTGAAAATTGAATCGATATTTTTACTTTCATGATAAATTTTATGCGCTTGGCTCTTGGCTAGGTGATTCCACATGTCTTTACCTTAGGCTTATTATACTAACACTCACTACACTTATAAGGTTTCACGTCCTCCCCCCATTGCCCCCTTTCACCCTTGTCACTAAAATCATGATGAACAGACAGTGATCGAACTATTCTATTTGGATAAATGCATTTTGGCTTTTACAATTCTCTTATTTTGAGAAATCAAGCATGATGTGACATGACACACGCACTGGCTTTTATATAAGTTAGATTCTAATATACTAAAACAATATTACATTAATCAAAATCAACGTCACTTTGATGGTATTTGTTAACAGACAAATTTAAATGTTAATAGACTTGTTCCATTTCTTTTTATTTATTTATTCACCAATTTATTTGTAAAAGTTTTGAACCACTAGATGGGGCAACAAAATCACGCAAAAAAGATATCTGTTAGTAATGCTCTTTATTTATTCACGGTGTTCTTAACCAGTCAGAGCCACGTTTATGACTGCTTTTTTTAGCATGTTCCACTATTCCTTTGGTTATCAGGATGAAACTAAATCTAAAATATATATATACCAGTTTATAATTCAGAGATCATAACATGTTTTTGTTTTTTAATCATACATCAAATCATAAAGATGTAAGCAAAATTCTCAAATTATTGGTTGTATCTGATAGACTCTCTTTGTAAAGATTCAGATATTTACTGTATCATTTATTGCAGCCTAGGTTTCTTATTCATGTTCTATTAGAAATATTACAATATCTAATTTTTTATCACTTTGCCATTATCTAAGCTTTTGTATAAAAACTAGTTTTTACTCATATGCTAAAGATTAAATTATTGGTGATGTTCTGTCAAACTAGGGAAGTTGTGTTAGAAATAAAATTTAGATTTTTGAATTTAAAAAAACAACTTAAAATAGAAATGTTTTTATAAGGATAAGAAAAATAGAAATATTTATATTGTATTCTTTTGCATATATATAAAGATAGAACTTTTTATTATTGTTACATGGTACAGACAATTTTCAGTATCATTTATTTAGCTACTATTAGTAGTGCTAACTTGTAATTTCAGAGACCACCTATACATCTGTATATATAATATATAGTGCTTATAGTTTTTAGGAACACATTTTTAAAACTTAATAAATTTACACCAATTATAGAATAATTACAACATTCATGAAGGATTAATCTTATATGTAAGATGTCAGAAACATTTGTAAGAGTAGGAGAGATGAATAAGGCAATACTTTCAAGCAGTTTTTTTGGTGAATTTTATTCTGTATCTATCTATTTATTTTATCTCTGACCTCTTACTTTGATTACTAGTAGTAATGCTGTGCTGTATTTACGCATAGTAACTGTTATAATGAAGTGGGTGAGTTTCAATAAAGTATCTTTGTTCACATATGACGTAAACAGAGGAAATAACAAGAATGATCTCACTCGGTGAAGCTGTGTTCATAACAGCACCAAATAAGAGAACAGAACCATAAAACTTGGAGAAATTAAATTATACTACTTCTCTTGCATTCAACTTTTGTTTCTTTAATACACCATTTTTTCTTTGATGTTGAAAGTCTAGACATAGTTTAAGGGTTAGACAATTGTCGTGATATTTTATGAAATGTATTTCTAAAGAAGATAAGAATTTTCATTTGATAGGTTTTTCCTGATGTGTAGAATTGATACATAAATAATATATAACAGTCTACAATGTAAGTGTTTTGGATGAACATTACAATTTTATTCATAACTGTTGTTCATGTGATGCTGACACATAATATTATTTACAGTTACATTTTTACCTGTTTCTGTAGGTGTTTAGGATGGAATTCAGATAAGCTGAGACATACAGAGAAAAGCTGATGAAACAGGACAGTCACTGTACTTTGTAGGTCCAGAGAACTGTCATTTGCTTTCAGTTAAGGTACTGACTTCTTTCTTAAAGATTACGTAGATTTTTGTTACCTAAAAGTGTGGGTGTGGCAAGCACAAGGCAGTGGTATACAAAAACATATGAGGACTTGTTCTGACATTGTTATAACACAAACAGATATCTTTACAATTTGAGCAGGCTTGGTTTGGTTTCACTGTTATTTAAACATATATCAGTTTGAAACTATCTTTTATGTAACTATTTACTCACACTGTGTCCATGTTTACATTTGTTATTCAACTTCTAGTCTTGCATAATTACCTTGAAGTAAGAATATATATTTTTTTCAAAATTCAATATTTTTGAACTTATATTTTTTTGCAAAATATGTTTTTACATATACTGCTTAATTATTTAAGTAAAATGATGGTGTTTAAATTACATTGGAAAATATGCTTTTAAAATTTTAATTGTATTATTATATCTCACTTTGTAAATACAGGCTATTAATGCAACATGTATACACTAAGCCTAACTTTCACAAATTTAGGGTCATTTCAATTACGATTTTGATACAAAGAGGGATATGTTATGATCGTATAGTACATTGAGCATTGCATTCCATAATCTTTAGACCACCACAAACTGTGCATATGTTCTCTTGGTTTCAGAACTTTTGACTTACATCGTATGTAGGGCCCCAAGTGTCATAAGAGTTAACTTAATTGTTATTACTTTTATATATAGATCACTTACTAATTTTTATATTTTTGTTTAAATGCTTGTAAATTATCTAGCAGGCAAAAAACGAATATAGAAAAATTATATGTATTTTCTTGTCAAAGTTCTTTTTCATTATAATTTAGTAACCTGAAAATGCCTTACAGCTATTGTGTAATTGGCTGTAGTAACAGAAGAAATCTATTAAAAAAACAAAAAATCACTCTTGAAATTCTACATAATTCCAGCTGGTACAACCATCAAAGAAAATCATAGACATTACTTTGGTTAAATGCTATAAAAAGAGAAAATTGTAAATTTGTAAAGATTAAACATACAAGAACCTTTGTTGATTTTACTTCATAAGCTAAGTACTTATAAATGTCAGGTAAGAGAGTAATATTTAACTTCCTGTCATCCAAAATGTGTGGGTTGGGCAGATTATATTCACTTGATAGCCTCAATGTCTTATAATATTGTATTTGGCCATTGACATTTAATGTTTAAATGATGACCCTGTTTACATGTACTATTCCTGGTTTATTGTTTTCCGTAATTGTCTAATTAATCTATTTAAATTCAATTATAAGGAATACAACTGATTTTAAGATATATGTAATGCAGTAGGCCTAATCACTATGTCTGCAAGTTTATAAATGGTTGAACCCAACAAGTGACATCATGTAGTAGTGATCTTTATAATAGAGCTGATTTTATTTCTTTGGGTCTGATTATACAAGACTGTTTTGCTAAAGCTTGAAGATTTTAATTAAACTTTGTCAAAGACCATTATAATTATTGTTATCTCTTATTAATAAGTTTTTAAAATTTTTTTGTTAATTTTTAAATACGTTTATGTTTTTCAGTTTTAGTTTCACTCAGTTAAAATATGAAATAAATAAATAGATAGCTTACCACCATAGATTTATGTAAGTTTTTATCTTGCGTTGTGAAGTAAATGTGATTATGTTACTGCATAATTAAATCTGTTCTTTGATTTCAGTTACCATACATTTAATATTAATTATTTAAGAAGTAACAGGTGATCTTAGTTTTGTATTTTTTGTATTTACCAAAACTTTAGGTACTTGAAAAAAAAATCATAATGAAAGATTATTTTAATGAGTTAAATCTATTTGGCATGATAAGATAGAAATAAGAAAACATAAATTGATAATCACAGGTAGATGCTTTAACAGCTGAAATATTATATCATCTTTTAAGTAAAATGATGTGCAGTGTAATGCCAAAGCTAATAGAAGATGATCCTTGTGGTATGTAAGAGTATTTTCAGTCTTACTGTAATGAGTATGAAAGTGCTCCTCAGTCTTACTGTAATGAGTATGAATGTGCTCCTCAGTCTTACTGTAATGAGTATGAAATTGTTCCTCTTCCTAGGAACTCACACTCAATTCAAGACCATAGAAAATAATTTGATTTTAATGGTTAATTCAAGTTTCTCAATTTTAAAATTGTACTAATTGTTTTTGATTGGTATATCCCAACAAGTGATAAGATTTATCAGTGTCATGGGTTTTGTTTAATTGGAAGTTTTGTCTCCAAAAGGGGATTGATGTAGGTTATCTCCAACAAATTTTTCAATTAATTAACAGTTTTCCTCAGTGCTTCCAGTGTATTTTTTATGTTATTATCTATCTGTTACCTATTATCATCAAATAAGTTATCCGTTATTATGTATTTATCTTTAGAACACAAATAATTTAACACCTTGGTTTATTCAGTTCATTTATATTAAAATATCTGAATTTTTAAACATAATTATTTTATGCATTTTACAGATCTGGTTCCAAAATCGCTTGACTGTCCAGGGTGTTTCTGTTGTTGGTGTACTTGTTGAAAATGAAATGTTGTTAAGGTAAAAATTAGTTGTAATGTTAAACTTCATTATCTTCAGACAGCACAAATATATGGTAATTTTGTAATATATATTATATTCCGTACCTGTATTAACTATTGTATGACATGATTCACATGGCACTTGGCATCATTACTTATATACTTGGGAGATTCAGTAGAATGTGAGATACATGTTCAGTAGGTTGTCATTGCTGGAAAATCAAGTGATGTATCATTGTGGACAACACTATAAATTGTGACCTGTATATCTTCATAGTTACTGCATCCTTAAGCTTTTGTAAGTGTTTTAATTATTTTTGAATAACCCCAAACTAAAATGTCACAAGGACTCAAATCAGGTGACATTGGAAGCATGGTAACCATCTTCCATAGATGTTAAGGAACCTGTTTGAAAGAGCATTACATCCAAAGCCTTTGCAAAGAAAATTAAGCACAGTGTTTGTTATTGTGTTCTACCTCATACTAGACATGAATCTTCAAAGTGTACAGTGGTGTAGCATTGCCAAGTTTCATACCATTCATGTGTTATTTATTATTATTGTATTTATTAAATACAAAACATAAGATATATATATATAAAAAAATCAACCTGTACTTTGAAGCATGTATATTTCCCAATGCTCAGAACAACAAGTTTTACACTGTCTGTTGGACAAATAGGTTTTGTTTTATTTCACATAGTTTGTTTTATTACTAGAAAAACAACCTGGTTAGATTTCTAGGAAGCCATATAAGTTCCTAAAAATTCTGAACTGTGGAAGTCTAGCATATACACATAAACATTAAACAAATTTGTACTTCTAAACCTCAAACTAAAACTGTATACACAACTGTACATGTCTCTTTAGTTCAGAAACCCTCAATAACAAACATATTTAAATTAGTGTAATAATATTATTACATTGTTTTTGTCTTCAGTTGGAACTCACTGAAGTTGACTGCCAGCTTCAGGCAAAATATATAACATAATAAATATTCCAAAAAGCTTTATAGTATTTTATATTAAATACCATTTTAGTTTGTGTCAGTATTAATGTAAAATAAGATTTTTTTTTAATCAGTTCATGCATGTGGTACATTGTATGGTGAGCTCTAAAATCCTAATGACTAAATATTTAAAAATATAAAATACATGAACAGTTACATATGAGTAATTTAGATCCAAAACATGTCGTATGCAATTCTTGTTAAAAACTGAGCTGATAGTGGCACTGTATTGACAGATATTCAGTATTTTGACTAAAAAGGGCTATTGATATAAATTTATTTGTCCAAAAAGAATACAGATTTCGTCAAATTTGGAAAGAATAATAGTTGTATATTGTAAGTTTTCAAATAATAACTTGAAATGGTTTTATTTAATAAATAGACAATTATTGGTTGAAATAGTATTCTTTTGTGAAAGTTTCAGGAAAAAAAGGTGATTTTTCTTAAAATGGCGAACATGAGTATACAGCATTTTGTATTTAAGCTCTTCATATACACTTATATTTATTTAACTTCCAAGTATTGTTATTTTCTGATTTTAATATAAGTTGATAACCTGTATTGATTAGAAAGTAATAAAGGCTGACAGATCTGGGGAAAGTCTACTAGTAAAAGTGAATCCATAATGCTCATATACATCTGGTTATCTTTTTTTGGACTGTGAAAAGAACTGGCAACAGACAGAGTAAATAGGAAAAAACAAAAATTTGTTTTGCATCATATTATGCCCCCCAGTGGCACAGCAGTATGTCTGCGGACTTTCAATCCTAAGAACTGGGTTTCGATACTCGTGGTGGGCAGAGCACAGATAGCCCATTATGTGGCTTTGTGCTTAACTACAAACAAACAAGCATCATATTAATTGGACACCTTTTAAAAATAAGTACTCTCATTTACTAATTTTTAAAAACACTCCGCATTTGCATACAATGCCTTTTTCCTCTGTCTGGGAAATAATGCATTTAATGTAAATAGTATGACAAATAAACTTTATACAGTTAAATTTATACAAATTATGTAAGCAGTTAGTTGTCAGTGCATTTTATCTTACTTTCTCAATGCACAAATACCACAATTTTTTTGCACTGTTTGCTGCAAAATCTTACAAGTTATATTTACTTTTATTTGTGAATATTTTATGGGATGGAGAGGGAACATGTAGGATCTTAAGAATGCCATGTAGATTTTCTAGCATTTTGTCCCTTGGACAAAAAGTTTTTATCAAATTTCCACACCCATGTTTGAATCCTGGCAAAGATTTTAGAAGATCTAGTCTAATTCCAAAAATAATACATTAAATTTTACTTATATTTTGAAGGGTAATGAATACAGTGAAAACTGTAATATGCAATGTCTTTAGGTGTCCTTACAGTTTGATAATGTTCAGCATGGACACCATCAAGTGATTACAGGATATCATGTGAATAAAATAAAGAAAGGTAACTTTTCTCCAAACCACTGTTTTCAAAAAATGAAAATTGAAAATTATATGACTGGAAATTATTCGTTGAAATTAGTGTGAATAATTTTTATCCACTAAAGTTTCTTAGTAATTGAGGTTTACAAAGAATGAATCAAGAGCATATGTATACTTTGACAGAACAAGTCTCTTGAAATGAATTGGGTGTACACTTTGGGTGAGCCAACTTTAAAAATGTATTTTTAAATATATATATATATCTTAATTTTTCTTCATTTCCATTTTTTTTATATATTTTAAATTCCAAATATTGTTAAGTTATTTACTGATTTTAAAATAAATTGATAATTTGTATTGATGAGAAAGTAATAAAAATTATGTAGATGTGCAATTTGACTAATTTTTTGAGAGCTGAATTGCATACCCAGCTCTACCCTTGGTGAAAGCCTGACAGATCCAGTGAAATTCTACAAGTGAAAGTGAACTCTTTAAGTCCATAATGGGCTTTCTTTTTGAAGCTCTTGTAATTCACTTTAAATGTCTTACCTTAATAGTTTTGAAGGTTATTTTAAGGAGACTGTACTGCTCTGTCCATTTTTCTTTTGAAAATGTAAGAAACACACAAATTTGTTAAAAATGAGTAAAATCTCTAGGAGGATTTTCAGTAGAGAAGTTGAGTCGAGTAACTTGGCAGAAATGGCAAAGCAGTTGCATCACTTCTTGTTCAAAGTAGCCCATTTCACATTAGAGATGTGGTCAAGATTTCTACTTTCTGAATTTGGTACATTTAATGCATGAAATTTAATGATATTCTTTAATTTTACATCTACAGAAAACTATATTCTACATCAGGAAGTAAGAAATATCATAATAAATATTTCATATATGAAATACTTTTCTAATTCAGTCATAAGTGCTTATTCTAATCCCAGTATAAATCAGAAGTTAAATGGTGTGAATCAGAAAAAAAGCATTTTTAGTTTTCAATATATGGGAAAATTTGATATCAATTTGGCTTGCTTTTGGACTTCTAAGTTAGCATGCCAAGTTTGGTCTGGATCAGCCAACTCATTTAGGAGGAGATGCATCCACAGACAGGCAAAATTTTTCCTTGATACTAGATACATAACAAACTGGTATGGCTTAATATGTGTAACTCATATGTGAAGAATGCCTGTGCCCCAATTTTTATACTCGGCTATGCCTCACTTCACTTGCCAAATCTGGAAAAGGTTCTAAAGTACTACATTTCATGAAAATACCCCCTGAGTTGCACATAGTGTAACCTTCGTTATACTTTCAGATAAAACTTCTTGAACTGTAAATGATACTAGTTAATGATTAGTAATCTGTAGTATTTTCAATTTATCATCATAGGGTAACAAGCCAGAAGGACAGGTACCTATGGCAGCTTTGAGTTCGAAGTCCATACAACACAGTCTCTCCCTCTCCTCTCTTTGTGCAGCTAGCCCCCCTGACTCTGCGCAGGGAAAGAGAGGTAAAATCAGAGGAGAGAAGCCTTGATGTTAGTCATGGAACAGTTGACTTTCAACGAGAGAAAGATAGGTCAGCTAGGGGTAGTCCAACGGCAAAAGATGATTTTTGGGAAGCTCTTCAGTCCAACTATGACTACTTAATGGATGATGAGCTAATTACTACCTGCAGAGTAAGAGAAGTTTTAAAGTACACAAAGTAGAAATAATATGTTTACTGTAGTATAAGTCTGTTACGTGCACAGTAGGTTAAAAAAAGACTAAAACATAGTTTTTGTTTGTACAATGAGCATTGGATGTTGATGTTATTATATTTCCCTGCTTATCCAAGAAAAATATATGAAAGAATACTGATTAACTATAAATTCTACACTGTATTTTCAAGAACATGTTTACACCAAAACTGTAGTTTTGTTTTTGATTAAGACATATGTATTCTTGCTATAAAACTGATATTATAAGTAGATACATTAAATTTACTACCACAAAGACTAGTAGATAGGTATCTTGAAATCAGTTTATTAAGAAAGGAAGTAAAATGGTGAAATAGTGTGTGGATCTGAGAGTTATGAGGGAGTGTAATGTTTCTCATAATCCCCGTGTTGCCTGGAGCCTCTGTTTTTAGTTACTGTATTTCATACATTGAAGTGTAAATCTCTCTAATACTTTTCAGAAGAAAGGATATACAGATAGATGTTTTAGCCAATTATTAATACTTTTTGAACAGACAAATCAATTCTATGTGTCCCCAAAATGCACAAGGTGAAAAGATTACAACTTACGCTAACATTCAGACATTTCGTATAGCTTCAGTATTGTACATTCTAATATTTCATTTACAGTTGATGCATGTAGCATGCAAACCAAGTAGTTTTATATGTTGACTTGTTTGGATTATTGAACTTTGACCTATGGACCTACAAATAGGTAAATTGTATTTATAATGTTATTACACACTTTTGTTTTTACTGAAAACCTGTATAAGGCTAGTTGAGAGTAAGTACTCATAATATATTTAGTCTTATGATTTTATGAATATTCCTTAGAGTTTTTAGTGGATGTGAAAAGGGTAGTTGAGTGTTTAATCTTTTGATGATTTTGAACTTGTTCAAATGCACCACTGTGCTCTAGAAGCTTATTACCAGCTCACCTATAACAATGCTATGTGATATCTAATATATATATACTCATAGTTTTTTAAAATACATTTCATGAAAATTTAAATAACAGTTTGTTTTGATATTTTAACATTTTTTCTAGCTAGCAAAAAAATCAAGTATCTTTCCAACCTTTATGTTCTTAAAATAATTAAAACTGCAGTATGAACATTATCAAGATTTACTATAATCTATATTAGCTTAGTATTAAATGGTATACAAATAAATAAATTTTTCATTCCACCATTAAGTTTTATTGAAAAACAATCAAGAACATCAAGGAAGACAAGACTCTAATGGTAAACTTTGTCAAGCAAAAATTAAGATTAGTGTGTCAAAGAAGCTTTTTTTTACAAACACAAAATGGGCAATACCTTGTTGTTCATATTTGTCCATAAATGGTGAGTACTGTTCCCAAAATTATTACACTAATGTTGTCAGTTGGGGGTTAACTAACCTCTGCATTTTTCTCAGTGCAATTAAAACTTGGATTAGGTGTATAATATATACATATAACTTCTCAGGTACCCAGCAGACAACCACTGAAGTCTTAGATTCAGAAGATGTATTTTATTATGACCCCACTGTGAGGCATCACAGAGTAGGGGATATTGGTTTACCCCTGTTCATCTTTCCCAATCTTGTGGATAGGATATCTCAAGATTTCTAGACATGCTAACTTTTGAATATCTTGGGTCAAAAGTCACTGGTACATAGAAAATTTGTCCCAATCTTATGGGTAGGTGCTACATCAAATTGGGAGGAACTTAAACATACCGTATAGTGTAGTGAAGACATAGACCATTCATAAACACAATTTGTAGTTGCTGTTATTGTTGATCACAGTTCAACCAATCGTACAGGAAACATTTGAATGAATTCTCTTTGTAATTGTGTATCTTTATTTAAGTATTAAACTACAAATATGTTTTCAGATTTCTTACATTTCTGTGTTTTGTACATAATTAATGGCTTTTAAAGACTGCTTCTGTAAATTTATTTTGAAAAGCATATTTCTAAATTTTGTGTTATTGTTTATTCTTTCACACCAAATGTGTATTACTCTTAATATAAATTATTGAGAAAATTCTTGTACAGCTGGTATCATGTACGGATTATGAGTTTTTACAATAAATGTTTATATGTTTATTTCAAGACTTATTTTTTGTGACTTAAACACTGTAGGAAGCCAGTGGAGAGCTTGATCAAGATAACAAGGAAATCTGGAGTTCTGTCACTTGGTCTTTCACAGAATTCATCCAACAGTTCAACCTTCTTCATGATGGGTTGCATAAACTACAGTCTGCTGTTTCTGAAGTTGAGGATGAGGAGAAAAGATCTTTAGTTGTAAAGGTAAATATGAGGCATAACAAAATTTAAAACTTTTGAAATCTAAAAGATTGTGTTTCATGACTTAAGTTTCATCTCTAGTGACGTGTACTCCAGTAAATAATAAAAGAAATTTATATTTTCATGTGACATCCAATTTGGAAAATGCATTTTTAATTATATTGTACATAATGTTAAACTAACACAACAAAAATTGTTTCACATAACTAATGCAGAGCGTAAATATTCTTAACCTAATTATTAAACCTGATGGGTTCCACTTACTCTTAAATCATGAAATATTATTTATGATTACTTTTTGGGGGAGGAAATTTCACCTTCAAGCATTTGTAATTATTGAATGGCTTCATGGAAGAGGAGATTGCATTCTTGTGAATTTTGGTAAAAATGTAGGTCTTCTTGACTTTTATTAGATCTACATAGTCATGTGATGTATCTTTCATTTTTCAGACACACCAAATGCAACTATTAATGTGATAGATTCTTTATAAATTCCACCTGTGATTAGGAGTATGGGTTATCCTTGATTCCCAAATGAGTGTTAAATAGGGGTAGATTACTCTTTAATAAAACAATTTTACTATTGAGTTTTTTTTGTAATAATACAGGGACAAGGCTTGAGCTTGCCAGCTTCTGCCTTTATCTTGTCTTCTTTTAAATCTTGAAACCAAATTAAGTTGGTCCAACGATTAGAATGTGAAAAATGATTTCTCTTGAAAATCTCTGTGATAGATAATTAGTACTGTTTTGGTCAATTAAAACAATTTTTATATCTATATATGTGTTTAACAGTCAGTGCAGGAAGAGCTCCAGAAGAAAGGCCTGAGGTTAAAACTGTTCAATGATCAAGCCCAGCAACTTGGTAAACGTTATCCAAACATGAAAGATGAAGTCAGTCGTAGAGTGAATCTCTTAAACAACAAGTGGGAAGCTGTTGAACAAGCAGTAAATCCCCATAAGCCTCAACAGTCACAAGATGGGATCTTTCAAGGTATGGGAAGCATGAGTTTATATACTGTCATTGAAATTAATGAATATATTGAATTGAAACACTTAAGGTTGAGAATGTGTTTAAATATATTTATAAAGCAACATTTGAAGTTTTTATCTATCAATTTTCTGAGAGTTGCAGGATTGCAAGTAAACAACATAACTGGTAAAACCAAGGTTTTGACCCGACATGGGCAGGTGGTTAGGGTGCTCAATTTGCAAACTGCGGGTTGCGGGTTCAAATCCCCATCACACCAAACATGCTCATCCTTTCAGCCGTGGGGATGTTATAATGTGATGATCAATCCCACTATTCGTTGGTAAAAGAGTAGCCCAAGAGTTAGCAGTGGGTGGTGATGACTAGCTGCCTTCCCTCTAGTCTTACACTGCTAAATTAGGGATGGCTAGCACAGATAGCCCTCGTGAAACTTTGCGCGACATCTATAACAAACAAAACAAGGTTTTAATTTTAGAAAGATTTTTCAGTGGTTTTTGAAAATACGTGCTTAGTAAGGCATAATTTACCATTATTTAAAACATGCAGCACTAACTGAATATCTGTCAAATTTGTTATACATAATTAGTATAATTTTCATGAGAGATAGGCAATTCTGTTTACTATAATATAGGTAATGTGGTTTTAATCATCATAATTTATTAACTTTTTATCATTATTATACCATTCGAATTGTACTGTTTATAATAGTTTGAGTACATTGAATATTGTAAGTATTTAGAAATTAATTTTAAGCTATTAAAAAAAGAAGTTAATAATTGTACTTATAACAAATCAGTCATTTGATCTAATAAACAGAGGTAGCTCATCAGATGAGATGCTTAAGACGTTGGCTAAGAGAAGCAGAAGATAAGCTTCATTCGCCTGCTGTTAGTCTGAGATGGAAGTTGCAAGATGTTGAAAACAAGTACAGAGAACAGCAAGTGAGTATGTAATGGTTTATGAAGCAACGTATTTCATAACTGTTCAAATACGTCTCTCACATCAACAGAATATAGTATGTCTAATTGGTATTGAAGTTCTGGAAAATTAACTATTATGTAATACAGAGTTTTTTTTTATATTAATATTTAATTTCTGTTGAGTTTTGTTGAGACTGCATAGAGTAAAAATAACCATACACTCCACTACAAGCAAAGTCTCGCGGGTTCGAATCTCAGTCACACCAAACATGCTCGCCCTTTCGGCCGTGGGGATGTTATAATGTGACGGTCAATTCCACTATTCGTTGATGAAAAAAGAGTAGCCCAAGAGTTCACGGTGGGTGGTGATGACTAGCTGCCTTCCCTCTAGTCTTACACTGCTAAATTAGGGACGGCTAGCGCAGATAGCCCTCGTGTAGCTTTGTGCGAAATTCAAAAACAAATAAGCAAAGTCAGTGATTGATTATTTTTAATGACTAGTGATAGATAAATAAACATAATTATAATTTTCTCTAACATGGAATAAAATGTGAAGCGCTAGAACCTTCCGACTCTCCAACTTTCTTCTGTCAAGTTTGAATGCTGCTTTTTTCATTATCAGTTCTTCAACCACTTCCTTTTTATGTCCATTATGTTTTACATTTTAAAGTGCGTTTTTAAAATTCACAGATGCAGCAGTTACAAGTTGACATTCTCATATTAATTGCATCTCCATTATGATAGTTTGGGATGATAGCCCCTAATAACTCTTTCACCATTGATTATGACGGATTGCATGTTCACAAAATTGTCATAATTGTTTTGAAACAATATATGGTTCTATTAGAATTGGAAGTTGTTTGTTAGACGTTATTTTATTTAGAATCAATGGGCATATGTATGTTTATATATTAAAAGTGCGAACAAGAATGATCGTTAATTACCAAACTTTTCGAATGAAAACACACACACAGACATATAATTGCCTTCTAAAGATTCTTGTTATTTTTCATATTAATCTTGATATATTCTAGCATTGTACATCAAACATCGTAAAATATGGAGTTGTAATTTTAATGTTGCCTTAGTTTAAAAAAAAAGTAAGTTTAAAATATTATGGCACGTGGTGTAATAATAGCGCTTATCATTAAGAATGGTATTTTCCTTGCTCCAAGAGATGGCGATACTGAAGCTAAATACTAGTATATTATATAACTACAGCTAAAGAAAGTGGTCTTTGAAGCCAAGGAAAAAGTAATAGAAATAATATTCATTTTTTGTATGAGAAAATTAGAATAAGAATATACCACTTGTTCATTTTTAAGCGAGAAACGAGTATAAATTATGTAAAAGCCAATAGTGAGGAGTATAAGTTACATACTTTATAATATCACCTACAGATGGCGCCAGATGAGAAAAGTATTAATAAAAATATACATGTAACTTGACAACAGAAACATCATTACGCTTTAGTTGTTGTGTCTAATTTATACATCAAATACACGTTTCATTGATATTGTATTGGATAATTCGAAATTTTCCTGAAGTCAACAGAAAATATCGAGTGAAAAGAAGACATCATTACAAAACTGACCAGTCAACCATCTTTATCAGCGCAGTTAGTTCAGTGATACCTTGATCTATTTTACGCATTATACTACAGTGAAAATAGTTCATTATTTCCCTAGCATCCGTAATTTTGAACATTTGAAAATTGAAGCGCGTGCTCTGAGGTTCTTTACGAAACTCTTTTTAGTTCACATTCACTATTCGACAACAAAATTTACATATCTACAAACACAGTCTGTTATTCTATAAAGTTTGAAGTGTTCAAATATTTCTTACCCAAATATCTCCAAAGCGTTTTGATATTTAGTAAGTTTTTTTTCAGCGGGAACAAATAAATGTGATTGATTGTGAGCAACGCCAAGCGCAACGTTAAAAGTCATCCTGATGATTACTTACATAATCCATTTCATAACGATCGTGGTCCATGAAAGTTGATGATATAAATAGCGCATAGTCCACTACTATATCCTAGCTGACCTGAAGTGCCATGGTATTAGGCGAAAGGCCTCGTCGGCACTGGATATGGGCTCATGTAGTGTGTTTGACGTATTATAACATATTCATATTTACTTTCGTTCATATATTCTTAGAGTAAATATTAAATTTAGATTTAAAATCTAAAATTGGTGATAATGTGTGAGGAATCATATCAATCTGAATCTGCTGTATTAGTTATGTGGTAATATGCAATTCCTGACCAAAGTGAAATATTTCCGACTCTTAATTTAGACCGAATAATTTCAACACACGCTGTTTAAGTAATAGTTTCGTCCAAAACGAAACTTAACAGGCTTAACATTAATTACTTGTCCAGAACTAAAACCAAATGCCTCACTATTACTTTTCTCATTTTTACAATATTTAATATTAGTTTTAAAGTCATTGTACTTATCTTCTGTTGTTCCAAATACCTAATGAAATTTGGAGTAAATATTTCTAACGTAAGATTGAAATTTGCAAGTCCTCAGCACATACACCGAAATGTTGACGCACTCAAGAAACAAGACAAGAGCAGTCTATTGTAAGTTTCAAACTTATAATGTCTACACTTATAGAAATACCAATTAAACAAGTTATAAATTTCCAGTTTTAGAGGGAGTTTATTCGTTAGCTGGATGAAAATACAAAAATATTTTGGTTCTCAGATATTATATTAATTTTACAAAAATAGATGTCATTTCCTTTAGAGCCATACACAATAAACTTAAGATATATTTCACACTCGACATTCATATCCATAACCAATTTACTCGTCAATCTACATCTAAATGAAAACACAGCTTAAATGTCAATCTACTTCTAAACCAGAACACAATTTACATGTCAATCTGTTTCTAAACCAGAACATAAGTTACACGTCAATCTGTTTCTAAGCCAGAACACGATTTACATATCAGTCTACTTCTAAACCAGAACACAATTGGTATTTTTTCAACGTTTTCTTGACCCAGAAGTTTGACATTAACTAACAAGTAATTCACATTAAGAATACTCAGAAGTGTGAAAATATGTAAATATGTTTTTAGATGACCTGAAAGTAAAACTTTTAGTTTGTGATATTCTTATTTGTTTTTTTACATGCCAATGCTACAGAGTGAATTTTAAAGATTTATTTATTTTTTCTACATGCCAATGCTACATACTGAGTTTTAAAGATTTAATAATGTTGAAACGAACATTAATCTTGATATCAATATGTTTAGCAGGGTGTTCATGACTTTCTTTCGAAATTTGGTGTCTGTAGTAATCATATGATTATATCGGTGTGAAGGTTCAAGGTAGTGAAACCAGGAAGTTTTGACAACAATATTATAATGTTCGTCTCAAACTGTACTGTGTATGTGTTAGCCGCGCTTTTACGAGGGAGGTTTCTGGCGCCAAATTGTCTCGAGCGTTCACGTCACTAAGCGTATTATTTCACTCGCCGAAAGGTATTTTGGCTGATTTTTTTTTTTGAAACTGAGTTTCATCCACGTTAGCAGGACTCTTACGCACAAAAGTCGCAGTTATTGATTTGTCTCCGCTACTGTTGATTTTATTTTATGAAATCGATTGTGTGTTATGCATGCATGGATGAAACTTAAAACTCCTGCTTTAATAAACTCGCATGGTGCGTGCATCAACAATATATACACATTAAACTATACCTGAGGCTATACGAAACGTGTTTCAAAGATATATACACATTAAACTATACCAGTGAGGTTATAAGAAAGGTTTTTCAAAGATATATACACATTAAACTATACCTATGAGGTTATAAGAAACGTGTTTCAAAGATATATACATATTAGAATACACCTGTGAGGTTATACGAAACGTGTATCAACGATATACACACTACAGTATACCAGTGAGATTATACTAACCATATATCAACGATATATACACACTACAGTATAACAGTGAGATTATTAACAATGTGTACAGTCTATAGTATACCAATGAAATCTTACTAAATAAGTACCAATAACTTTCATATTTTTTACTGCTTTGGGGTCTTTTAGCCGAACTAATCGTTCATTGATTTGTTAGAAAAGGCTTAAGGCACGTGCATGCACAGCTGAATTCAATCCTCCATGCTTAATATTCAGTGGAGTGCCACATGTATACTGTATCACACAGGTTGTCTGGATATCGTATATTAGTTAAAGTTAAATTTTAGGGTTTGAATTGTGTGCGTGTGTTGGAATTTATTAACCGCGTTGTGTTATAGGGCCTAGGAAATTATATCTGTGTGTATTGTGCCGTAGACCCTAACGACATGATATCTGTTTGTATTTGTGCATTGTGCCGTAGACCCTAACAACATGTTGTCTGTTTGTATGTATGTATTGTACCGTAGACCCTAACGACATGATATCTGTTTGTATTTGTGCATTGTGCTGTAGACCCTAACAACATGTTGTCTGTTTGTATGTATGTATTGTACCGTAGACCCTAACGACATGATATCTGTTTGTATTTGTGCATTGTGCCGTAGACCCTAACAACATGTTGTCTGTTTGTATGTATGTATTGTACCGTAGACCCTAACGACATGATATCTGTTTGTATTTGTGCATTGTGCCGTAGACCCTAACGACATGATATCTGTTTGTATGTATTGTGCCTTAGACCCTAACGACATGCTGTCTGTTAGTATTTGTGCATTGTGCCGTAGACACTAACGACATGCTATCTGTTTGTATGTATGTATTGTGCCGTAGACCCTAACGACATGCTGTCTGTTTGTATGTATGTATTGTGCCGTAGACCCTAACGACATGATATCTGTCTGTATTGTGCCGTAGACCCTAACGACATGATATCTGTCTGTATTATGCCGTAGACCCTAACGACATGCTGTCTGTTTCTATGTATGTATTGTGCCGTAGACCCTAACGACATGATATCTGTTTGTATTTGTGTATTGTGCAGGATTATAACTACCGCATGTTTTTAGGAGGATA